AAAAAATTTAAAAAAACCTCATGTGATATTTTATACAAATCAGTTACAGGTTTATCACTCGTTGGGAAATCCTTTCCATTTCCTTCAATTTCAACCTCCTCTTCTTCTTTCTCTTCTTTCAACTCCAAATTTTGTCTAATAGAATTACAGACACACAAACTCGATTTTATTTTGTCTTGATCATCAATCCCTCTCAACAAAGATTCATTAAATTTTCCACAAGCAGAGGGAGCCCTCGACTGGCGAACAGCCATACGGAAAGACGAAACTGGAGAACTTCCCGAACTGTAAGGAAAACGTTGACGACGAAAAAATTCATCTTCATCTTCTTCATCCAATTCACTTAAATTTTCGTCGTCAGAAAGAGCACAAGCTGTAAGGCATATTTGCTGCTGAAAAATTTAAAAAGAAAAAATTAATTTAACATTAAAAATCAAAAAAAATTTCTTTAGACCTGTTCTTGTATATGTTCTTGAAAATTAGAAGAATCAGAGTTGTTAATATTAGAATTATTTTTGTCAGTAGTTTTTACGTTCATTTAAAAAAAATATTTTATTTTTTTAAATCTCTTAAAATTAAAAAATGAAAATAAAATTGTTATTTCACAAAATTTATTAAAAACAAAAAACCTCCCCCACCTTTATTTTTATAAAAATTTCCACCAATTCGCTTAATTTTGGAAAAACAGATTTTTGGATAAACAGGACAAAAATAGCAAAATAAAATTATTTAATAGTAAACACACAATTAATTTAAATTTATAATGATCAACACATATTTTTAATGCGTGGGAGAACTTTTAAAAAAAAATAAAAGGACAAAACGTCCTCGGTTTCGCTTATTTTTAGACAAGGAAGCATTTAAAAGGCTCTTTATAAATTAATGCTTTTTGTTTTAAAAAAGAGACAACAAAAGTGACAGATTACCTTTTTTTAAATCGATAATAACACAAAAAAGCAGCTTTTAAATAAAGGGTTTTTTAATATTTTTGATAAATTAACTAAAAATAGAAGAAAAAAAAAGAATATTTCTTTACAAAAAAATTATATAAAAAAAAGAGATATGATAGATATGAAAGGGACACGCCCGACTTGCCGCGGGCCGACTTGTCGCCAAGCTTTTTAATTAACACCCCCTTCCACAAGGTCTACGCGGAAAAAAGTTTTTGCCGCTGCGGAGGAAGCCTGGCATGTCGAGCGGAACGACGGCCGCCGCTTCGCTACGGTCGCCGCGAGCGAAGCGAGCACGACCGCAGCGAAGCACGGCCATCGTGTAGCGAAGACCATGCCCGGCCTACCCTCCGTAGCAGCACAAAAACAGTTTTTCCAGCGAAGATTCAGTTGATCATAACTTTGTTCATAATCGTCCAATCGAGCTGATTTTGGTGTCATTCAGCTCAGCTCGACGAGCTCTTTCGAATGACATATAAATTACCCAATTTTGAGTCTGGTACGGAAACTGTAGTTAGGGGTTTTTTAATTTTGAAAATTTTTTTGTAAAATTTTTGTTTTATACTTCAGCATGATCCCATTTGATGGTCGTTGGGAACATTCTAATTGATTATAAATCAGAATATTTAATTAAAAAGCTTGGCGACAAATCGGCCGGCGACAAGTCGGCCCCGCGACAAGTCGGCCGGCGACAAGTCGGTCGCGACAAGTCGGCCGCGACAAGTCGGCCCGCGACAAGTCGGGCTGTACCCATATGAAATGTTAGCCGAACGATCTTTGGTCTAAGAAAAGAAAAAACCTGAAGAAAACCTTGAGGAATTCACGTGACTAAAAAAAGTAATTTTTTCAGACAATTGTCTCAAAAGTTCGCATTTTAGAGAAAATATTATGGAAAAAGAAGAGACGGCAGAGAAAAAAAGAAAAAAAGAACGTGCCCGCTCAACTCATCTAATACTTAACTCATCCACACGCCCAAAATCGCTCAACTCATCTAAACGGCTAAAATTCCTTAACTCATCCACACGGCCAAAAACGCTTAACTCATCCAATCCTCAACTCATCTAATGCTTAACTCATCCACACGGCCAAAAACGCTCAACTCATCCAATCCTCAACTCATCTAATGCTTAACTCATCTACACGGCCAAAAACGCTCAACTCATCCAATCCTTTGGAACGAGACTATTGAGTACCAGTCGTTTGAGTCCCTGGCCGTTTGAGTCTCTGGCCGTCTGAGTCTCTGGCCGTCTGAGTCCCTGGCCGTTTGAGTCTCTGGCCGTCTGAGTCTCTGGCCGTCTGAGTCCATGACAAGTTGAGTCTCTGGCCGTCTGAGTCTCTGGCCGTCTGAGTCCATGACCAGTTGAGTCTCTGGCCGTCTGAGTCTCTGGCCGTCTGAGTCCATGACAAGTTGAGTCTCTGGCCGTCTGAGTCTCTGGCCGTCTGAGTCCATGACAAGTTGAGTCTCTGGCCGTCTGAGTCTCTGGCCGTCTGAGTCCATGACAAGTTGAGTCTCTGGCCGTCTGAGTCCATGACAAGTTGAGTCTCTGGCCGTCTGAGTCTCTGGCCGTCTGAGTCCATGACAAGTTGAGTCCCTGGCCGTTTGAGTCCATGACCAGTTGAGTCCCTGGCCGTTTGAGTCCATGACCAGTTGAGTCTCTAGCCGGTTAAGTCCCTGGTCAGTTGAGTCCCGGCCGTTTGAGTGGTTGATTACCGCCGGTTGAGTCTTGGGCCGGTTGAGACTCAACTGACCAGGGACTCAACCGGCTAGGGACTCAACCGGCCGATATTTCAAGGATTGGATGAGTTGAGCGTTTTTGGGGGTGTGGATGAGATAAGCATTAGATGAGTTGAGGATTGGATGAGTTGAGCGTTTTTGGGCGTGTGGATGAGTTAAGCATTAGATGAGTTGAGGATTGGATGAGTTGAGCGTTTTTGGCCGTGTGGATGAGTTAAGTGTTAGATGAGTTAAGGATTGGATGAGTTGTAGGGTAGCCAAAAAGAAAATAAAAAGAATGACATTTAATCCTTTTAAAATTACACAACGCCAAAAAATTAAAATTTTAAAAATAAAAGGTTAAACGTCAGTTAAACTTTTTCTGTTTTTGAAGAAAATGTTGGTGATTTCTTGTTCTGAAATATAGGAAAGAATATGGGGTTTTTAAGTAAAAGAAATGTTATTTTATTATTAATTTTGACTATTTATTTAATTTCTTTATTTTTAATTTATTTACAATTTCCCGAATTAAAAAGGTTTTTTTTTCAAAAATTTTAAAAATTAAAAAAAAATTTTTTAAGGGAAGAAAGGGAACATTTTCGTTATCCACGTAATTTAGAAGATGCAAAAAGTTTGGGAAGAATTTTACTTCGATATAAAGAAAGGCATTTTTTGGTTGTTTTGGCTGGGGTTTCTGCTGTTTATTTAATGTTTTTCTTTTGAATTTTTAAATTAAAAAAAATTTTTTTGAAGGCTTCAATCATTTGCTATTCCCGGCTCAATTTTTCTTACAATTTTGTCTGGATATTTATTCTCGTTTCCCGTTGCTTTAGCTTTAGTTTGTTTGGTAATTTTCTTTTAACTTTAATTTTTTTAATCTCCTCTTAAAATTTTTTAAAGTGTTCAGCAGCTGGAGCGACTGTTTGTTATTTTATTTCTTATATGTTTGGGAAACGTTTGATTGTATATTACTTTCCTGCACGTCTTGCTTTATGGCAAATTGAGGTTTTTTTTATTTAAAAATTAATTTTTTTTTGAAATTTTTAGGTTCAAAAACAGGGAGATCATTTATTAAATTATATTATTTTTTTGAGGATAACACCTATTTTGCCTAATTGGTTAATTTAAATAATTTAATAGAAATTTAATTTTTAATTTATTTTAACAGGTTTATAAATTTGGCTAGTCCTATTGTTGATGTTCCTCTAGTTCCTTTCTTCTTTGGCACATTATTAGGTTTATTTAAATTTTTTTAAAAATTAAAATTCTTTAAAGTGACAAAAAAATTTGAAAAATTATTTTTTATTCGAGTTAATAAAAAATTAAAATAAATTGGAACATTTACGGAACATTTAATTTTTATTAAAAAGGATTTCCCACCGACCGGGGTCGAACCTGCCCTCAAATCTACGAAGGCAAGCCCACTAACCATTACACCACAACCTTTTCTTGGAGGGAAATTAATTACTTCCTTAAATACTCCATTTTAAATCCAAAAATTATCAATAAATAAATTTTTTAAAGGTGTAGCCCCTCCAAGTTTTTTGTTTATCCAAGCGGGTACAACACTTCAAATGATGACAAATGCAAATGTTGTTTGGTCTTGGAATTCAATTTTGTTACTTTCCTTTTTTGCAATTCTTTCACTTGCTCCCGTTTTGTATAAAAGGCAAATGTTGATACGGTCAAAGGAAGAAGAAAAGAGTAAATTGATAAAATCCGAGTGATTATTTTTTAGAAAAATATTTCTTTTTGTTATTTAATTTTTGAATTATTTTTTTGGTCTCTTTTAACGTTTAATTATTATTTTAGTAAAAGAAATAGTTTGGATTTTTCTTTAAATTCGGAATTTTAGTTGGATAACAAAATGTTTTAGAAGTAAAAATTAAAAAAAAAATTTCTTCAACTTTTCCACGGAGCAAAGAATTTTTCTGCAGACAATTGGAATTTTCGGCTTTGAGTTTTACTAACGATAAGACAGGCGAAAAACTTAAAATTTGTCTTATATGTAGGAATTCTCTGAGCGTTTATTTAGAAGGATTAAAGCAAGAAAAACAAAGGAGCAAAACTGACTTTCATCTTGAAGTTAAAACCTCATTCCTTTTATAAAAAAACTTCTAAAAATCTTCAAAACAATTTTTGGAAATTTTTATACAACAAAATACACATACTTTCAATAATATCAATACATACAATAGGCAGAAGGAAAATATATATTTATTTACATAAGGGAATAATTATTATTTATCAATACATTTTCCTATTTTATTCATCTTTATTCCCCCCGTCCTCTTTTTTGCATCCACCATCAACATCCAAGCGCATTGAACAAACTTCTACATTGCAGCCACACGTCTAAAAATTAATGAGAGTTTTTTAAGTTTACAAAAAACTTCCTTAAAAAAAGACTCACTTCGCCAACTTATCGAACGCCGGGTCGAGGTACTTGACGTACATATTCTGCGCTCCATAAGTCTGAGGCAAATACAAGTAGAGAAGGAAGAGCGCTTTGAGCGGCCAATACAGCGGAAAGTAGGGAGTGATGCGGTCGGCGAATTGATCCACAAGAGAGAAGGTTCCATAGGTAGTCCAATACACGAGCCACTGCGTGTCGTCCTCTGAAATTTAATGAATATATTGTTCGAGTTTGAAAAGGAAGGAAGTTTTTTAAGGACCTTTCCCAGCCGAACGCAAAGCAACAACTGAAGCATAGGCAGGATAGACAACACCAATCAAGTTACAGATGAGACCAGCACCTGGAGCGGCAAGCAACCAGAGGAAAAGAAAACCGCAGATGGCATAGAAAATCTAGAAAAAAAGACGATGAGAAACACTTCAAAACATTCTTTCAAAATTTCTTTCTCACCTTTTCACGTTCAAGACCGGTATTCTTCTCAGCCGCTCCGAACAGCTTATCCTGGCCATCGAGCCATTTCTGCAACGCCGGACGAATGTCGCTGAAACTTTGAACCTCAACTTGCCGAAGACCAATAGCAGCACCACTCGGACTGGCTGACGGCGGTGGCAGAGATCCAGCAGATTTTCCCTTCTTCTTGGTAGATGCCTCACTCGATGCTTTCAATGACGCTGGCGGTGGAGCAGGAGGAGCAGCTAGTGGCGGCGGCGCGTCGTCCTTCTTTGGCGGCTCGGGTGGCGGTGGAGCACTCATTGTTTTGTTGTTGTTTTTGGTGTTTTGTTGAAGTTTTTTTGTTTTTAGAGATGAAAACGGAGTTTTGAAGGCTTTTATAGTCAACAACAACAAAAATTAATTTGTTCGTCTCCTCAAAAAAGGCGAGATCAAGACTTAATCTTATTTACTTTAAATTATTTTTAATTCCCTACTCTTTCCCATAAAATTAAAAAGACACGTCTACAGATTTACTAAAAAAACATTTAAATCGATAATAAAAGATAAAAACTAGGGGATTTATCAGTTATAGGAGCACCTCGATGGATCGGAAATCGATGTGATTAAATACTAAATTGGAGTGACATTTATGATGCTCCTATAAATATAAGGTTCTACATACATGTTTAGTATATGTTTTTAGTACATTTTTTACATACCCCTCTTTTAGATAAGTTGAAAAAACTAAGAACATGTTCAAAACCAGTCCGTTCTAAAGTGACGAGAATCAATCACTTTTTCAGACTAGCCGAACATGTCAAACTTCAATTTGAATATAAAATACAAATTTAAAAAAAAGTTTGAAAGGGACAAATTAAATATGTACAAGTTTTTAAATTTAAGAAAAGTGGTTAACATAGTGGTTCAATAATTACTTGTGGTTCAACCCCAAATAATGTCCATCCACTAAATATGGTTTCTGTTCGCGTTTTCCATCTGATTTTGTAGATTTAGGTTCTTTACCCAATACTTCTTTATCGTCTTTCTTTTCTCCAAGTTTTTTAATTTCTTTGGTTGTCTTTCCAACAAGGACACCACCTGTTAATAAAGAACCGAAACTCCATCCAATCTTTCCAATGTTTCCGGGAGTTCGTTTTGAACGAAGTAAAACATTCTTGTTAGCAGTTTCTTTACCGTCAAAACCTCAAAATTAAAAATATTTTTTTTAAATCAAAATTTCAAATACCATTTTTACCTTTAACAAACAATTCAAAATGAACGAACACAACAAACAAAATAATAAATATTTTGTTAGCTTTTTTGTGCTGCATAATTTTCGAAGTTTTTGAGAGATTTTGAAGTTTTTTAGAGATTTTTTAAAAAATAATCTTAATTAAAAAAATTTTTTTAATTTAAATAGAGGTATTTCTTGTGTTTTATTTAACTTTTACAACCCCCCTACTACTTTAATTATTTAGAAACATTACTCGATTAAAAATTAGAAAAAAATATTTATTTATTTTATTAATGAGCGTGAATGAAGGCAAATGAAAAAGCAAGCATTGCTAGGGGCTAAATTTTTAAAATGCCACCCCTTAAATTCTTTGTCAATAACACGTGCAAGTCCCTCGAGTTATTGATTTCCCCAATTGATTTTCCCTCTGATTAAGGGCCTGGTATAAAAAAATTTTCTCGTGCAAATTATCGATCTCCTCATATAAAAAATTTAAAAAATTGTTTTTCTTTAATTTAAATTAAAAATCCGGGAGTCAAGATTTGTGTTTGGATATTTTTAAATTTAAGAATTTTTAAATTTAAGAATTTTTAAATTTAAGAATTTTTATTTGTCAGTATATAGTTATTATTACAGTAACCATTGAATATCCAAAACTTTGAATGTGTATAAAATTAAAAAAAACTGCTTTTTATTTTTCATTTTCATTAACTTTAAATGGCCACTACGGAATCGTAATTCGTAACAGGGGGGGGGCTTGAAATTAAAAAGCGAGAAATGGGTAGAAGATATTTAAATTACCAATATTCACAATCCAAAAGTGAAATTCGCATTTTGCAATAAAGAATGGATGGGCTTTGACTTTGAATTAAATTCTTCTTGTTTGGCAATTTCTAAATATATATTTTTTCGGTTTTGAATTTATTCAAATATCGGGCTTTGTTTTGAGAGGATCTTTTTCTAAAAATCACTCTCATTTTTAAAAATTCTGCTCTTCGAGCTAGGCTCAATTTTTGACATTTTTCTTTCACCTCAAACTCAATTCCCTAACTGATCATTAGGAAAAAATTGAAGACTGGCAAATATTTTACAAAAAATTTATTCGAACACATATAGGTACATACAAAATAAAATTGCAACAAATCAAATAGAATATATTATGAGACATATGTACATATTACACACAAGGAAATTTAGGAAATATACAACATATAAATGAATGCAAGATAACAACAAAGGAAAATATGAGTTTAGATATTATATTCAGTTCATTTTTATCTCTTTAGAATTCTTCCCCCTCTGTGGCAGGTTCCTCCTCGGCCGTCTCCACCGGTTCTTCAGTGCGCGTCCCACCATCCCGACTCGGTGTTGCAACCAGTTTCTTTCCCGTATCATCAACTGGCAATGGTTCGGACTCAACGTTGGGCACATGATATACTGAAATTTAGAGAATTACCCAATGACTCCTTTTCACTTATTCGAGTACCTCTCTTCGGCTTCCCTGGTTCTTCCTCTTCAATAGGCTCGAACTTAGACCGACGCTTCCAGAAGCCCTTCTGGCGCCTAAGTATGGCAAGCACATCATCGGCTGGAGTCGAGATCATCTTCAGTGGTGTGACATCCCGTTCGAGCTTGAGTACCACATTTTTCTTTTCAATGATACTCTGTCGAATAGCCTGTAAAATAAAAAATTGAAAATTGTTTACAAAATTACTTGTAAAAATAACACCTTTTTAGCTGCAGAGACGTCGTTATTCACTTCCCTGCCGTTAACGTCAACCAACATGTCGTCTGGAAAGATGTTCTGCGCAGCTATACTGCCTGACTCAACGGACGCGACCATGATTTTAGCTCCCTGGAATCGAAAGCTATTATTAATGGCAAGTCATCATTACTCAAACAATTACCTTCCTTTCCACAACTATCCCAACAGGGAGATCTTCTCGCCATCTGATCTGCATGAAGATGGAAATGCAGTTCGGCTTTCGCTGGACTTCTGCGACCTTGAGTGTGGCCATTTTGAAGTAGTCGTCCCTGTGGAAACGGATGAGCAAAGATTTGGGTTGAGCGCCAGAATGCTGAGTTGCTCCCGTGAAGTCTTCTGCCGATTTTATGGCCTAAAAAATTGACGTTTAAACAGAGTACTACCCTAATAATCGCAGAAGCTTACACGTTTGTCAATCTGCACGATCCAGTCTCCAACGAACAACCATCGAATGTTGTGACTTATAGGGGGTTTTTGTTGGCTGGACCGATTTGGACAAATGAGGTGTCATTCGAAAGAGCTCGACGAGCTGAGTCGATTGCGGGGTGAGAGAAGTCGATCCGACAATCAGGGACCGAGATACAGACCCCTGAAGTTTGAAAAAGAGAAGGGGGGAGTAAGCTCATTTTGGGGTAAAAAATTCGAAAATGCAAATAATAGCTCATTCGACTCAGCTCGTCGAGCTGAGTCGAATGACACCAAAATCAGCTCGATATCTTGATTCTGAGCCAAGATAAACAGGTTCAAAATGGTCAACATAAACCTATGGAGCGTCGGCGAGGCGCTTGTGCGAAACCCCGCGCTTCGCGCGGGGTTTAGCGGCACGCGCCTCGCGGGGAGTCTACGGGCGCTGGGTCTGGGTCAGTAACATAAACCTATTCCTATCTCCCTTACTCTGGACGTAATTGGGGTCTCTGTAGCAGCAAAAACCTCACCAATGACCATAGGTAAGGAGCTAAAACAAACGATCATAACTTTGTCAAATCGAGTCAGATTTCGTTGATTTTGGTGTCATTCGACTCAGCTCGACGAGCTGAGTCGAATGAGCTATTATTTGCATTTTCGAATTTTTTACCCCAAAATGAGCTTACTCCCCTCTTCTCTTTTTCAAACTGCAGGGGTCTGTATCTCGGTCCCTGATTGTCGGATCGACTTCTCTCACCCCGCGATCGACTCAGCTCGGCGAGCTCTTTCGAATGACACTTCATTTGTCCAAATCGGTCCAGCCAACAAAAACCCCCTATAAGTCACAATACCCCAACCATCCAAAGAAGTAGGAAAAGATGTCGATCTTCTGTATCCGCGGCGGCGAGCTCCCACTGAAGAACGTCAGTCCCATGTCCGAGTCTTGGATCTCGATGGTAGCCTCATGCTCACGAATGTACTTCTTAGCTGAAAGAGAAAAAAAGTTAGTTTAGAAAACAACCCTTGTATGATACATCCTCGTTTCTCGGCCATTGTACTGGGACGCGAGACCAAGAGTGAGCAGCACAACGACAAACCAAAAGCGGCCTTTAGTTGAATTGAGCACAGCGTTGTCGTCACGAAGTGCAGTGAGTTGTAGTGTTGGTTTATGCGTAAACTATTAAGGCGCTTTTATACTAACCTAAATTCTTAATAGAAAACACTTCTTTATAAAATTTTCCAAATAATTCAATTAAAATATATTTTTCCTAATAAAAATGTTTCTTTTAAAATTCGACTAGAAACAATTTTCCATATAAACAGGTAAATTAAAAAAAAAATTTAATTCTGCTCCAATTCACCGCCCCCATCAGAATAATCAATTTAATAAATATATTATTGAGATTTTTTGTGTCCAAATCGGGGCAGGTTTGGAATGAATAAACAAAGCAAAGGAGTAATAAAATTATATGAGAAGGCTTAAACCCTCTTTCAAAATAAATAATTACTTTTTTATTAGCTAAATATTTTCTTAAAATTAATTATAATTTACCTAAAGTTTATTGGAAGGATTGAGGCAATTTTCCTTATTTTAGGAGATTTTTTTGGAAATTAAATTAATTTGTATGAGCTTTTAGAAGGCTTTACTAACAAGTATGTAGAATTATTTCCTGACTCCCTAACCTCCTTCTAAAAAGGGTTCTATTGGAGGCCTTCTAGTAAAAAAGCATCAAAGACGTTTTCTAGAAAGAGGCTTCTGTTATAAATAATAAAATATAATTTATAGCTAAATTAAGATGACTAATAAAATAAAAACAAAAAATATTCCAACAAAAATTAGCAACAATTTTTCTATTAATTTGCCAAATTCAAAAAATTTTATAAAATTTAATTTAATTTTTATTTTCCTTTCATTTAACATAAAATTAACACAAACAGCTAATTTAAATGAAGAAGAAAAAATTTTGATAGAAGAAGAACAAAGAAGACATTCCCTAAGTTTATTAGAGCCCGATTTTGCTGAAAATATTTTTAATAGAGAAGGGTCTAAAAACCCAATAAAAAGGACAACAACAATTCCTTTGATATTTAATAGACAAGAAGGAATTAATAATAAAGATCAAAGTAATTTTTGTGTTCAGAATTTTATTGAAAATTAGAATTTGGACTTAAGCCTCCCGGGTTTTTAATATTTAAATTGGTACTTTTTTAAGTCCTGTAATTAACCGGGCTTCTATTTTTAGAAGAATTTTTTAAATTTTATTTTATTGTGTTCACCTATTAATTCCCAAATAAACGCTCAAGATAAAGAAAAATAGCTTAAAAACTCTCCTTTCTTTTTTACATACTTCAAAAGAATCTGATTGTTTCCTTATCTTCCCTCAAAAAAATTCAATTTTTAACAGAAAAATCAAAAGAATCAACAACAACAACAAAAAAATCACCCCCAAAAAAGAGACAAATAAAACATCGTTTTATTCGTTCTCCACCAACAGAATATGATGAATTAAATCAAGATTTTTTAAGTGAATACGATGCTTTAAATTTAGATTTTAATTTGGATGAAGAAACAAAAATAAATGAAAAAGAAAATGGAAAATTAGAAGTTTTGAATAGAGAATTTATTTGGCAAAATGGGGAAGATGAACAACAAATTGTTCAAGAATTTCCTCCAAAAGAGTGGTGGGATGGGGAAGAAATTGGTGATGATTTTGGGGAGAAGGAAAATGGAACAGAGAAAAAAGTTGGGAAATTTTTTTGGTTAAACAAATTGGTGAAAATTAACTACCGTAAAATCTCTATTAGTTACCCTCCCTGAAATAATTACCCCGCCTGTTTAAATACCCCATCAAGCGAGTCTCAAACAACAATTACTTTCCCTCGAATAATTATCCCCTTTTTTCTCAAACTAATTTAAAAAATATTTGTTAAAAGATCGTTATAAATTTTAATAATTTTAAGGATCAATTTAAAAAATAAATTAAGATTAAAAGGATTTGGGGAATAGATCAAGAGATTTTTAATTAAGAAGGATATCAAGGGATCAAGAGGATTTGGGGAGAAAACAATGAGAGATTAAGAAGTTTTAAGGGAAATATCAAGGCATTTCCACGATATAAGACTTAATCCTACTATATTTTTCCAATTCTCTGATATTCCCTACATCACTTAAATAATTTTCGATTGACTAGTTGTCTGCCCTCCCTCAAATAATTACCCAACTTTTATTTATTACCTCCAGAAAGAGATCGAAACAATAATTACCCAGGGTAATTAGTACAGTTTTTACAGTAAAAAAATTGTTAACAAGTATTTTCTGGCCGAACAATTAATTGAAAAATCAAATACCAATCGTTAAAGTATTCTTTCTTTTTTACCACAAACCGCCTTACTCCAACTACTTAACTTTAATCAAAGAATGCTCTCTATTAGAATTTAAACTTTAAAAAGTTTTCCTTTTAAAATAAATTTTTTTTTTTATCAAAAGCGTCGTCACCACCGAAGTACTCCTCCCAAAAAATATCCGAAACCAATTGACGGCTCTATAAATATTAACAACGAGGATTATCAACGCCAAGCAGATGAACAACCTTTAGAAGCTATTGATAGGGATAAATTATTAATTATTCCAAAATTAATTCCAAGTAGAGCAACACTTCCCCCAACCATAATAACAACAACAGCAAAAATTAAAATACCTCTAAAAATTGGGGATTCTAAAATGTATTTATATTTAATTTAATAAAAATAAAATCAGTCCGTTTAAACGGATTTTTTATCCTTAACGTAAATATTCACTTGATTTACTCGTAGAATTTTCTCTTCCAACTTTCAAGATATGTCTGTTAGACCGTCTTAACATTAAAAACTAGACCGATTGTAATTGCCGTTTTCGGTTCGAGCCGACGTCGAGTCTTTTTTGAGCTAAACGGCCTCGGGTCGCTCGATCATTCGAGATTCGGGTCGAGCGAGCCGGCAACCCTAGTAATAAGTTACAAATTGAGGGTAGGTTGTATTGTATCAGTAAATCCTTTAAAAAATTACTAAGAAAAATTACTAGACTTAATGACTGTTTAAATATATTTTTTAAATAAAATTCTAAAAATAAATTTATCAAAAAAAAGCTCCTTTCTCAGTCGAAACTCCCCATCATCCCCACCACCTCCCTTTGCCAAAAAACTTCCCAAAACCCCAATAGAACAACAACAAAAACAACCTAAACAAAAAGAAGAATTTCAAAAAGATTTGCCTAATTTATTAATTTCTTCTTCTTCATTAAAAACAAATAATTTAGTTGAAAATAAAAAAGAAGAAAACATTAAATATTTAATTAATTCTCAACAAACATTAAATAAAACAAAAAAATTAAAAAACAAACAAAACAACAAGTTTGAACAAGTTTTGAATGTTGGGGGAATTAATGGGGAGGAAAACACAAAAACAGAGCAACATAAAACATTTAATAATGTTGAAGAAAAACAACAACAAAACAATGTTTTTAAAAATAAGTTTGTTGTTAAAGTTGAAGTTTCCCCTTTAATTAAAATACCCCCTAAAAGTGTTTAAAGACGTGCGGCCATAACTTTGCTAAATTTTGAGCTTTATTTGTGAAATTTTAAACAGTTATTCTCTCTATAGTTAATTAAGTAGCTTAGACATTTCAAATTTTTTGATTCAGTATTTCGAAAGCTATGGTTGTTTTTCTGGGTCTATTAGGTGTCTATTACATTTAGAGGAAGTCTTTGACATTTATTATCTTAACCATCTTTCGAAATCTTTGCCAAAAAATTTTTGAGCTTTATAAAACTATTAGATAAACATATTAAGCATTTATTTACAAAATTTTGCGATTCTAGCTACTTCTTTGGAAATGTTTTAAGCCTTCGATTAAACAACGTCCCCGTCCATATTTATCTAAAAATTTAATCTTTTTATCTTTTTTTAAAGAAATAATTCTCTTCCACAACATTTACTTCCCAACGGATTTATTCATATAGCAACATTAAATTCACCTCCCCCAAAAATCGGTCAAAGCCAAATTATTTTATTAGATGGACAAAAATATTTGGTAGAAAAAACAGTTAATTCTTTAAGTCAATTTAATCCTAAACAACAACAAACAATAAACGAGAACAACAACAATAGAAGACCAGAATCTGAACAACTTCCAATTTTAATTTCCTTCCCTCCACCTTTATTAATTGATAAAGCTGTTGGTGGTGGAGGAGTACAACAGCAACTACAAGGTAGGGTTAAGAAATTTTTTTATTTTAAATAATATTTAGAATCTTTTCGAATTTTGGTAAAAGTTTTTTCATCTCCACAGAAAAATTAGGAGGAGGTGATTTTTCGACATTTTTGAGGTTTCTAATTAGGTAAGTGTGCTGAGTCCGAATATGAGTTAAAATTTTATTTAGATTCCAAACTTAAATTTGTTTAATAAAATTGTAAAATAGGGGAAGCTTTAAAAAATTTTTAAAGAAATTATTTAATTATTAAAAGATTCCTCCAACCAACAATCAAAAACACTTCAACAACTTCAATCACCCCAACAACAATTAAATAACAAAAACAATTTCCCAAATAATTTAAAAACAAATTCTTTTGATCCAAAAACTTTACGTATAGCAAATAGTGCTGTTTCTTCGAATGTTTTTATACCTATATTAGACCAACAACAACAACAACCATCCCCTTTCATTAAAAAAGAAAATAATAAAAGAATTTCAAATTCAAAATCTGACGTTTTAGCAACAAATTTGGGTGCAGCTTTGTCCCAAATTTTTGGAAATTTTTCAATTGACAGCAATGCTAAGCCCGCAAAGGATTTTAAACAATGGGAGAGAAATTAAAAGAAAAAACAAATATTTTTATATAAAATTAAACTCTTTTTAGTTTGGGAGGAGATGGGAATTACAAATTCTGTTTTGTTTTTCCAGAATTTTTTAGATTTCTGTTTTGTGGGATTTCCTATTTCCAATACCTCCTATATTCGAGAAAATGAAATCTAAATAATTTACTATTGAGATTTTTTGAATTTCCAAATAAGTACGAGAAATTGAATTTCTTGTATGGGCCAAATTGCTTCAATCAACCTCTCTAATTAAAAAAAATTTTTAATGTCTTTTAACATTTTTCTCATTCGATATTATTATTAATATATATTTTCTATTTAAATTTTTAAATAAATAAATTGATTAAATGTTAATCTTTGATCCGTTCGTCTTTTTTTAATTCTTTATTTGTAAATTTTACATAAAATAAAACCATTTTTGTAATAAAATATTTATACATTTTTATTTATTTACTACAATTTTTAAACTGTTTAGTTTTGACACAAAAAATATTTTCACATACCTAACTTAAGAAGGGGAAAAAAGAAAACTTTTTTTTTCCAAAAACCAAACAAACAAAAAATTTAAAAATAATTTTCTTTTAACACTCAACATTTACACGTCTCTCTCTCCGTCTATATTTTTGCAAAAAGAATTTTTGAATGAACAAAAATCAGTCATTAACTAGTTGGGGATTATTTGGAAACTTTTTAATCTTCTCTTTTTCTCCTCCCATTTTTCTTTAAATTTAACCCTCAACTACATATGTATTTAAAAAATTATTTTCATTTATTTCTTCATTTATTTTAAATATTTTATTTTTTACATATTTTTTTTAACTTAAAAAATCTAAAAATTATTTTTTTTTAGATAATTTTAGAATATCTAAATTTTTTAAATTTAATTTGGCTATAATGGATAATGTAAATTTAATTAAATTTTGTTTTTTATAAAATTATTTTTTATAAATTTCAGGTCAAAAAAGTAGATAATATTATTCCAACCAAAGCTGGTGGAGTGACTTTTAAATTTTTAAAAATAATTTTATTTTTTATTTTTTAGTAGTTGAAACTTGTTCGAATATTATGGAACGTGAGCCTACATGTAGTGTCCTCTGAGAGGCGTTTCTTTGGTGGTTAGAATTGGGATTTTTTTATGTTTTTGGTAAAAGAAATAAAAAGAAAAATTAAAAATAAAATGGAGAAAATTAAATGAATGTATTTTGATTTATAAATTTGTATTTTTTAAATAAAATTCGGTTTTTTAGTTTTTTTTCAATTTCTATGTAGTATAACTTGGGATAAAATTCCTTTCTTGTTTTTATTAAGAAAGAAAGCGACCAACCAAAATACTTAGTATAAGAAAATAATTTAATAAACAATTTTATTTAAAAAACTACCAAACGAGTTTGATAAAAATTAATAAATATAGCTAATTACTAAAATGTTAAATAAGTGATTGCCGTGAATAAAAACTAAAACAAAATATTAAAAAAAAACACCGAGATAACAAAATACTGTCGACTCTCATTTAAAGATTTTAAATTTAACCAGTTACTGTTAGCAATACTCCTCCCAATTTAACTTTTCATTAAAAATACGAATTTTCAGCCCTATGAAGTATTAAAAACGAGGTTCGACTGTATTAAACATTTAGAATCTTTTTGAGACTATCCTTTATCAGGAAAGTAAATATTATTGGAGTATTTTAGGATGAAGGGGGATTTTAGTGAGGAATGGTTATGGAAAGAAAAAGGGGGAGTGATGATGAAGATTCTCTACTTTTCAAAGAAAATTAATTTAAAGACATTTTAAGATTTATTTAACGTCTAAAGAATAATTGCTGATTTACTCGTTCCTTTAGTTTTGGCCTTGGTCGAGTGGAAGCGCCAGATTTGTTGCTTTTCAATTCATCTAGGAAACGCTTAGTCAAATCCTTCAAAAAATTTTTTAAAAAAATGTTAACTATAATAAAACATTTAAAAAAGGTAAACTCGCCTCATTCATAGGCCCACAGGCAAAATTTCCTTCCACATAAATCAGAGAATAGGGCATACAACAAGAAGGTTTGGGATATGGACACACTCCAATGTTGCATGGCTCAGTTACTTTGTATTCTCCACTTAATGGGGTAAAATGTCTTCAAAATTTTTTTAAAGTTTCCAACTCACAGACAGGGGCACCCTTTCCCGTCTTTATAAGAAAGACATTCACGAGTTCTTTGAATCAACCCACAAGCCCCACATTCTGCCGTACACAACCCAGTCTCTTTCCATTCACTCCATTGACCAGGATCAGAACTGCAGTCATTCGGCCTGTCTTCTTCTAGAAAGATTTTTAAAAAGTTAAAAAAGGCAATAATCTCTCTCTACCTTCCCCTTCAGTATTTGGAGGTGTGATGGGTGCTGGAGTTGTAGTATTAAGAATTTCTGGAATTGCGGGCATTGGTGGAGGGATGGGTATTGGGGGAGGAGGAGTATTAGACTGTGTTTCTGTTGGCAAAGGTGATTCTGTTGTTGTTTGAATCTGTTGGTCTTCTGGTATTTTAGGCTTTTCTTCTTCTTTTTCCTCTTGTTTAGAGGATGTAGGAGGTCCTGAATCAGTTTTATCATTTTCTTCTTGATCTGTCAACTTCGATCCATTTTCGTCCATGTTGGCAAAGTCATCGCCCTTTTTATTTTCGGGAGGTTGAAGTTCGTCTACCCCTTTTGTTTTGTCTGTGGGATTGCTTAAAAATATTTATTTAGCTAAAAATTTCAATTAATTAACATACTCTTCATTCCCTGAATTAGTTGTTGCTTCTTCATCTTTATTCTGCTTTTTACCCCCTTTCTTATTATTTAATTGTTCATCTTCATTTTCCTCCTCCTCCAATTTATTTGGATCCTTCCTTCCTCCTTTATCAGGTCCCAATTCATTTTCATCATTTTCTTCCAAAGGATTTTCTTCTTCAGTTTTCAAATTATTTTTAGCCTCATTTTTATTCGCCTCATTTCCATCCGTTTCTTCTTCCTTTTCATCAACTTCTGGGGGTTCTGAAAAATAAAATTAATTAACTGAAGTTTATAAATTAAGGTTTCCCTCCTTCTCCTATTTTTAATTATCTCCCTTTTTTGAAGATTTATTTATTTTATTATCTTTACTTTTATCATTTTTATTCTCTTCCATTTCATCATCCCCAACTTCATTTATTCTTCCCAAATTATTTTTATTTTTTCCAATTCCTCCCTCCTCTTCCAAATCATCCCCTATTTCATTGATAACCTTATCTTTTCCTTTTTTACCATTAATCTTCGATTTTCCGATTTCTTCCTCTTCCAAATCATCTCCAATTTCATCAGCATTATTTTTATTCCTATTACCTTCTCTATTATTTTCCTCGCTCTCTTCTTCAACTAAATCATCACCAATTTCCCCATAACCTTTTATTTTCATTCCTTCCTCTTTCTTTACTTCATCTTCACCTAAATCATCGCCAACTTCATTAACATTACTTCTCTTCTCTTCCCCTTCCTTCTTTACGTCATCTTCCTCCAAATCATCACCTACCTCTCCAATATTATTTCTCGTCTTTTCTTCTTCCTTCTTTACTTCATTCTCATCTAAATCATCACCAACCTCATAAATATCACTTCTTTTCTCTTTCCCTTCCTTATTCAATTCAACTTCTTCCAAATCATCACCTACCTCTCCAACATTATTTCTCTTCACTTTATTTTCTTCCTCCTCCAAATCATCTCCAATCCCGAAATTGTAATTCCTCTTTTCCTCATTTTTGTTTCCTTCATCTTCCTCCAAATCATCCCCAACCTCACTAATAAATTTACTATTTGTTCGTTTATCATTCTCTGATTTTTCATCCTCTTTAACCAAATCATCTCCTACTTCCATTATATTCTTCCCCTTCTCTTCTTTTTTATTTTCTTTATCCTCCTCTAAGTCATCACCAATTTCTACAAAAGAATTTCGTTTTTGATTTTTTTCTTCGTCATTTCCTTCTTCCTCCAAATCGTCTCCAACTTCTCCAATAGTTTTCTTCCCTTTCTCTTCTTTGTTCTCTTTCTCCTCCTCTAGATCATCACCAATTTCATCAATTCTCTTACCATTTGCTTTATCATTATTTTTTTCATTTTCCTCAAAATCATCACCAACCTCTCCAATACTTCCATCCTTACCTTTTCCTTTCTCTTCCTTATTTTCTTCCTTCTCTTCCAAGTCATCACCAATCTCATCAACTCTATTTTTACTTACTTCATCTCTTCCTTTTCGTTCCTCCTCTTCCAAATCCTCCCCTATTTCGTCAATTTTTGGTTTCTTCTCCTTTTCCTTTCCCTTTGCATTTTCATCTTCTACCTCATCCTCATCATCTCCAACCTCGTCTAGTTTTTTGGTTGATTTTCCATCACTTCCATCTTTCTCTTCCTCCTCTTCTTTATCATCCCCTACCTCATCATTTTCTTTTTTCCTGTTTGAAAGAGTTTCTACAACAGATTTTTCACCTTCCCTTCCATTTTTATCATCAATTCCCTCTCTCTTCGATCCTTTAGTTTTCTCGGTTTCATATCCAGCTTCATCATCTTCTCCTTCTCTATTATTCTCACTTGAATTGTTGATACTTTTATTCAAAGCAAATTCATTTTCCGGATACATTTCTTCATCTCCCCAATTATTTTCTCCGATATTATTTCCATTATTTGATTTATTAAATTCACTATTTCCAATAAATGGCTCTTCTGGGTAATCTAATTGCTCTTTAAGTTTTGAATTTTACACAGAGAATTTATTTATATATTCAGTAAAACTTTTCCCGAAAAATTAGAAAAAAAAACTAATTTCCTTCCCCCTATCACTGAATATTTAATTACTTTCCGGAAAGTTTTAATATTATTTCTTTGTATTTTCCGGAAAATTTTCGAGACATTTGTACGGGGATTCGTACACAAAACTTTTTACATATAATTACAAACAAACCTATTCCTTCTTCCTCATTATTATCATCATATTCCTCAACTATCTCTTCTTCTTTTTTGTTTGTCCAATTATCTTCTTCTTTTTCATCTTTTCTATTTTCTTCATCTTCAACATTTTCACTATTTCTACCATAATCTTTTATATTTTCTTCTTCCTCCAATTCATTTTCCGGAAATATATTGTTGTTATTCCCTTTTCTCTTTGTCTTTTCCGGAAATTGTCTGTTTTCCGGTTTTCTTAGCCAATCAGCACTATTTCGCATATTACCCGATCTGGCAAGATGTTCAAGTGTTTTCTGTATATTTTTGGGGGTAGGTTCATCACTAATGCTTTTATCATTCGAATAATCTTTTAAATCTTCTTCTGAAGGATAATCTTTGTTATTAATTTGTCGATACTGATTTTCGGGATAATCCTCAAAGTTTTGCCACTCAAGAGAAACTATAAAGTAAAAGGATAATTTAAATTTAAAAATAAATTGAAGTCCAACCTTGGAGTAACATAATAAAGAAAATGTGATGAAAGAAACAATTTGATAGGGGTAACATTATAATTTTAAATTTAAGAACAAAACATTTTAAATTAATTATACTTTAAATGGGCTATTTAGAAGTTAATGAAGCTCTCGTCTAAACAAACAAACTTTTTTTTAAATTTAATTTAAATATTTAATAAAAGTCTATTTATTGATTTGATAAAATAAATGTCGATTTTATATATTAATTTCCATTAATGGCCAAAAATGGAAAGAAAAAGAGAGAAGGGAATAAAGCCTGTGTTTGCGCATCAGGCGTGTAGCTATTGACAGTCGGCATGAAGCGGCAAATAAAATCAGGAAGGAGAGATATTGAGTGAAACGATTTCAAAATAACCCCTTCGTTGTTTTGAAATATTTTCAACATAGTTGTAAAATTTTACCATATCGACCTTAGATTCGCTGTATAAAACCTTTATTGGTGTTGTAGTCGGGATTTATCGTTAGTTAAGAAATAACTCCCTCAATAAAGAAAATTCCTCTAAGAAAAAGTTCCCTTACTAGCGGAAGTTAAAAAAATTCCTTGTTAGGGAGTATGCTTTCAACAGGAAGTGTTTTTCGACTCTCTCAAGGGTGTGCTTAAACAGGTGATTCTATAATGGAATAAGGTTCTATTAGGAATTTTAGGTTAGTATAAAAGCGTCTTAATAGATGATGCATAAACCAACACTACAACTCACTGCACTTCGTGACGACAACGCTGTGCTCAATTCAACTCAAGGCTGCTTTTGGTTCGTCGCTGTGCTGCTCACTCTTGGTTTCGCATCTCAGTACAATGGCCGAGAAACGAGGATGTATCATACAAGGGTTGTTTTCTAAACTAACCTTCTTTTCTCTTTCAGCTAAGAAGTACATTCATGAGCATGAGGCTACCATCGAGATCCAAGACTCGGACATGGGACTGACGTTCTTCAGTGGGAGCTCGCCGCCGCGGATACAGAAGATCGACATCTTCTCCTACTTCTTTGGATGGTTGTTCGTTGGAGACTGGATCGTGCAGATTGACAAACGTGTGAGTTTCTGCGATTATTAGGATAATACTCTGTTTAAACGTCCATTTTTCAGGCCATAAAATCGGCAGAAGACTTCACGGGAGCAACTCAGCATTCTGGCGCTCAACCCAAATCTTTGCTCATCCGTTTCCGCAGGGACGACTACTTCAAAATGGCCACACTCAAAGTCGCAGAAGTCCAGCGAAAGCCGAACTGCATTTCCGTCTTCATGCAGATCAGATGGCGAGAAGATCTCCCTGTTGGGATAGTTGTGGAGAGGAAGGTAATTGATTGAGTAATAAGGCTTGTCATTAATAATAGCTTTCAATTCCAGGGAGCTAAAATCATGGTCGCGTCCGTTGAGTCAGGCAGTATAGCTGCGCAGAACATCTTTCCAGGCGACATGTTGGTTGACGTTAACGGCAGGGAAGTGAATAACGACGTCTCTGCAGCTAAAAAGGTGTTATTTTTACAAGTAATTTTGTAAACAATTTTCAATTTTTTATTTTACAGGCTATTCGACAGAGTATCATTGAAAAGAAAAATGTGGTACTCAAGCTCGAACGGGATGTCACACCACTGAAGATGATCTCGACTCCAGCCGATGATGTGCTTGCCATACTTAAGCGCCAGAGGGGCTTCTGGAAGCGTCGGTCTAAGTTCGAGCCTATTGAAGAGGAAGAACCAGGGAAGCCGAAGAGAGGTACTCGAATAAGTGAAAAGGAGTCATTGGGTAATTTTTTAAATTTCAGTATATCATGTGCCCAACGTTGAGTCCGAGCCATTGCCAGTTGATGATACGGGAAAGAAACTGGTTGCAACACCGAGTCGGGATGGTGGGACGCGCACTGAAGAACCGGTGGAGACGGCCGAGGAGGAATCTGCCACAGAGGGGGAAGAATTCCAAAGAGATAAAAATGAACTGAATATAATATCTAAACTCATATTTTCCTTTGTTGTTATCTTGCATTCATTTATATGTTGTATATTTCCTAAATTTCCTTGTGTGTAATATGTACATATGTCTCATAATACGGGATGTCATAAATTTGTTTTGTATTCTATTAGATTTGTTGTAAATTTGTTTTGTATGTAAATGTGATTTTCGAATAAATTTGTAAAATATTTGGCAATCTTTAATATTTTCCTAATGATCGGTTAAAGAATGGAGAGTTTCAGGTTAAAGTTTATCGGTATCGGTTCCCAACCCGGGAAATTTCCCGGGTTTTTCGAGCTCTAGGTCGAGCTTTCGTTTCTTTTAAAGGGCTGTGGGCTTACTGGCTATTGTATCAGGTTCGTACGTTTGGGCAAGGGAAAAAAGTGGAAGGTTCGAACCCTTTACAATAAATATATAACTGTTTTTTATTTGCAAAATGAATTCTTATGAGCTTGTTTTTATTAAAAAATACCTAATTAGTATTTTTTTAAATACATATATGAATTCTAGACGAATGCCCTTACAAAATTTTTGCCTCAACTAGTACAATTAAGAATTCGTAGCTCAAACTTCACCTACATATGTAAATAGGTTGTTAAAAATGCCAAAATAGGTGACAAAAATAGAAAGCTTACCATTTTGGCGTCTGTGTCTTATACTGAAATTTTTCCGAAAATATTTATAAATTTATTTTAAAAATTTAAATTTATCAAAAACATTTCAATTTATATTTTTCCAGGCATTAATAACATTGTTGAAGTTAAAAATGTTTGTGTTTGTGCATTTTCCATAAATCTTTCATCTTTTCTTTTAATAAAAGTTTGTTTTTCCTCATTTTCAATAATTGGATGGGGCAAATCACGAATACGCCAATTCCTGTTAGTTGCCCAAAGGCTGGAAAGTGCTCTAAAAAGGGTAACTTCTGCCCTGTATTGAGTGAAAATTGCGAGAAAGAAGGCGGTAAATAAAAGTAAAACAGAGCAAAGAATTGTTATGTCCGGTTGTGAAATGGTGGCCATTCGGTTGCGATTACTAAATAAATTTTTAAAAGAATTTTAAATTTTTTTGAATAGATTCACCTCACTACTGTTACCATCCTCCTACTATTAGCACTTTGAACATGCTGCCCAGCTACCCAGGCACAAATTCCCATTATTAAAATAAGAAGCAAACAAAGTCCGTTAAGTACACGGTCGCGTATATCCTTAAGAGGAAATAATTTTTTAAAAGTTTTTTAAAAATTTTTCTAAATTTTCAATAGAATTACCATAAACGGAAGATGAATTCGCGTCAGCTAAAAAATTAGAAAATAATTTATTTTCAAAATATTTCAAAATAAAGTCGAACATCACTATATGATATACATATAAGTGAGCTGAAAGGCTTCTCTAATAATGAAATGAGTTTACATAGACGGTATGGCTTTCGAAGCTTCCAACCCACAACTGCCCAACCACCATAACCCCCACTAGCCGCCCAACCACCATTATATTGGGTGTATCTTATAAAAAGAGTTCCGACAAGTACTTACATCCACAAAAGGCCTCCTTCGATATCTAAAACCACATAATTCACAATGTGGCGGTAAAGGTTTAGTATAACGTGTTGAATTAATACAAGCTGCCTTTCTTGAAGATACTTCAATCCAGTGTGTTAAACAATGAATGTGAACATGCCTAACAGTGCCAGAACAATGGCAAGGGGAAATTAGGGGTTTTCTTTTTGTTTCTGTTGTTAAAAGACAAATTCTGCATTGACGGGAAGAGGAAGAGGAATCTGATAAAGGAGTTAAGGCATTTGGAGGGTTTTCTGATGGAAGAGGGTCTGAGACGGTGGAATTAATGATAGTAGGTGTAGAATCCTGAATGTGAAGTTGGGGAAAATTTTGATAAACTAGAAATTACCTGCTCAGCAGAATTTATTATATTGCAATTGTTAGAGGAAGCAACAGAAGTAGAAGGATATAAGCAATCATTTCTGGACTCCATTTTAAAAGGAATGGACGGATATATGTAGAATAGAGAGAGGAATGTAGTTGTGAGAATAAATGTAGTTAAGAATAAATAAACTATAAATGGATGGAAGTAGTTAACCCAACGCCCCCGTCGTCAGGGACAGAGGGGTCCGCAACATTAATCCCTAATTAATTCCATGTAATTAGTACTCTAATTAGACACAACCTAAAGGTTTAGGAGCATCCGGTACCATCCCAAAGGGCCTTATCAAAGATAACTAATATAAGAATATGTAATTAATCCCTAATTAATTCCATGTAACTAGTCAACTAATTAAAGTCAACCTGAAGGTTTAGGGACATCCTGTATCAACCCAAAGGGTCTTATCAGTGATAACTGATAATAGAAAAAAGATGTAGTGTAATTACCATTATTTTCTCGTAATTAGTTCATTAATTAGGTTCAAGGTTTAAAGACATATGGTGCCAATCCTGTGACCTGTCAACCCAAAATGTTAAGGCACTTTCCCCCAAAAATTTTTAAAAATTATTTTTTCCTTTTCCTTACTTTTTCGCGCAGCGTGCGTGTAGTTTTCTTTTGAGTTTTTAGGTCATCTTGACCTAAAAACTTTTCCTTTCTTTAGATTTTTAAAAAAATTTCTTTTAATCTTCCTTTTGTATTTTTGTTCGCGCAGTGTGCGAACATTTCTTTATTTTTTAAAATTTTCCTTTTGTTTGAAAACTTTTCCCTTTTTCTTTTGTATTTTTTATTTTTTCTTAGGAATTTTTAAAAAATTTTAAGGTCACCTTAAAAATTTTCCTTTTTCTTTTGATTTCTTTAAAAATTATGGGTCATCTTAAAAATTTTTCTTTTGTATAAAATATTTAGGTCGTCATTACCTAGAAAATCTTGTAATGGATTAATAAATTTCCCTTTTGTTAAAAAATTTCAACTTTTCTCTTCAATTAGGTCAGCTTGACCTAAAAATTTCTTTTGTGAACAAAAGATTAAAAAATTTAATAAATAAAATTTTTTCGATAGAAAAAAATAGAAGGATAAATAGTGAAAATAAAAATAAAGGTTAAAAAATGCTTTTGATGGAAAA